AGGGGTGCGAGGCCTCAACTCGACGGGTTAATCTCGCGGGGACTGCCAAGGGAGGTACAATTATTGATATTTCAGAAGAGCATCGTCCATGAAAATATCTATAAAATAGAGCCAGATCGCCAACTTTTCTTCGGTGTTCCAGAGAAGTGAGTGAATTTGTGAGCGAGGCATCATGCACCCACAAGACGAATTGCCCTTTTTTGGACAGAATCCAACAGTTTCAGTGTATGTTTGGGTGGTGCACTCCAAATATGGGAACAGTATTCCAGGACAGGTCGGATCTGTGCCTTATAGATCATAAGCAGCTGACTGGAAGTGAAATAACTCCTGGCCCGAAACAGAAAACCAAGTTTTTGGGATGCACTTTTAGCCATTGATCTCACGTGATTTTCCCAAGAAAGGTTATTGCTGATAGTAATACCAAGCATCGAAATGGATGTCTTCAAAGGTATGGTTACTCCTGACAAGGTTATGTTGGGCACAGTGGGATCGGCTTTTCTAGAGAAATGACAATGTGTTCCAAAGCCTCGCTGTTCGTTGGATGAACGAGTCTTTGGAAAGAGATGTTCTGCAGGTCTCCAAAGTGACCACGAAGGGGTACGAAGCCTCAATTCGACTAGTTAATCTCGCGGGGACTGCCAAGAGAGGAACAATTGTTGATATTCCAGAAGAGCATCGTCCATGAAAATATCTATAAAATAGAGCCAGATCGCCAACTTTTCTACGGTGTTCCAGAAAAGTGAGTGAGTTTCTGAGCGAGGCATCACCCACCAGACGAATTGCCCTTTTTTGAACAGAATCCAACAGTTTCAGGGTATGTTTGGGTGCTACACTCCAAATACGGGAGCAGTATTCCATGACAGGTCGGATCTGTGCCTTATAGATCATAAGCAGCTGACTGGAAGTGAAATAGCTCCTGGCCCGAACAGAAAACCAAGTTTTTTGGATGCACTTTCAGCAGTTGATCTCACGTGATTTTCTCAAGAAAGGTTATTGCTGATAGTAATACAATACATGAAAATGGTTTTTATTTTTTACGCAAAAAAGGTTCGACGGTCGGAAAAAATTCAAGAGATCAAATTGTTGCAAAAGGAATGAGGATTTCAAAAATGATTTTTATATTCGGAAATGCGAGGGCGTACAATATTGTTTTAGAAAAATCTCCAGTATACATCCCATACGGATGACAGAAAAATTAAACAATCCCCTGCAAAAATACCTATTGGCGCCTAGTAGCATGTCAAATTTCATGAAAATATCTAAAACAGTATTGAAGTTATAATAATGAATACAATTTTTTCCTCAAAATGTAACACCCCTACCCCATAGCTTGAACGTTAAGAGCAGGTTTAGGGCATATGTTCATACGAACTTATCTTCTTAAAATGAGCTAAGTAACCATATCCTTCATTTTCAGCCATCAATTGTATTACACTCTGTTTATAAAAACTCACCAAGATCAAGGCGATGAAACAAAGGACTAAACCAGTGTTCATCTTAGTTTACTCCGAAATTGTAGATACCTAGATAGAAGTACTTTTGCAACTATATAGTACTTATGTCAACAACTATGCTAATGAAGTTTTGCCCTTTTATAGAAAATAACAATAATTCAAACAATTTTCATTAATTTTATATCACATTTAATATGTCAGAGATTTCAGAGTTTGATTAAAAATAAATTATTATCATTATCACATCAAATATGTTATATTGCGTAAATACGCGAGTACTTCCGCAATTATTAGTGTATAATACCTATCTGATGATCTGATAACATAACTGTTTCCTGCATGGGGGATGCGAATCTAAATGCGAAACATGTTCAATTGTTCACTGACCAACAGTAATTGTTTTTATTTAAATAACAGTTTGATTCTATAGTTATACTGGGAATATTCGTTCATGAAACACTTTACAAAATAAGAGAGTTACTCCTTGAAAATTAAATAGGTTATCATTTCTACTAGCACATCTGAATCAAAATGTCAGTTCGTTTGAAAAGCTCAACATGCTAAAAAAATCATGAAGATCACGTAATCTGACGTCACTGATTTGAGCATTAATCTCTTGCTCAACTCAAACAAACAGAAATCTTGATTTACTGCTCAGCACAAACGAACACAAAGCAGTGATACATATAGCCTAATATGAGTAATTTCCAAATTTGTTTTGATTAGAGATTTTGATCGTTGGTGTTGATCGAGAGAAAAGATTGTGATTAAAATGATAAAACCGTTGGCATTATTCGAGGATGATGTCTGAATTCGCGTCTATTACCTCGGCAATGTTCACAATTCTACTCTTTTTTGCCATATTTATACATTATTGTTGCATTTTTCGCCATTTTATTTGTTTCATTTGTCATCCAACTTGATCAATCTGATTTGATTTTTCTGCTCCCTGAAAATTCGCGGAGCAAATAAATTCTGCTTCGAGCTCCAGTCAAACGAACACTCAATCATCAATTGCTCGAAACAAACGAACTTCAAATATTGCTCACATCACTTTTTAACAGGGTGAGCATGACAAACGAACAGGTCTAAGAAAATGCCCATAATCCACAAAAGTTGCAATATTTGATATGATTTCATGAATACAAAATTCACTGCAAATATCAGAGTTTCTGTTAATTGAGTAGTTTTCAGATATTTATAATGCAACTGAATCATGAGAAGAAAAAATGGGGTATCCGTTTGAAAAAATAATATTATTTTCAATTTTTCACATTTCCTTATTTTCGGACCCACTTTTCTGCGCACCCTGTAAATTATTTGGTGGTTGTGAATATGGTGAGTGATCTGTTCAGCCGTCAATATTCATGATCCAATCACTGCCTATCACTGAAAATTGCAATTCACATAAAAATAATGGCGTACCCACTGGATATTCATAGAATATTCTCTAAATATGCTAAAAAGGAGGAGTATATTCCGAATATTCATCGATTATTCCTAGAATATATACATGCCTCTGGAACATCTGAAAGGAATATTCCAAAGTGAATAGTCGGACATGTTCAGGGAATATTCAGGTATGAATCTTCCAGGAATATTCCCAACTGAATATTCTGTGCGGTATATTCATGAAATATACCCAACTGAATATTCTGTGCGGTATATTCATGAAATATTCTCAACTGAATATTCTGTGGTGTACATTCATGAAATATTCCATGAATATTGCTATGTTTCTCAACACATAAATACCATTTATTATTTCAGAGATGTGATGAGTATCGAACATCAATTAGATGTAAGGGAATTTTGAAACAAAAAGTGTGTATGGCCCGATTTCGAACAATGCTCTCACAAGAACTTGATATGTATAACATTATTCAATTCGATTACTGGCCTAGTGGTCAAGGCGTTGCTCTGATAGTCTTGAGGTCACGAATTCGATCCCTACTTGGGTCACTTTTTTTTTTTAGAATATGTCTATTGGAATATTCCAGGAACATTCAACATAGAATATTCTTTTGGGTATATTCTATGATTATCTGAGGAATTCCCATTCGTATATTTAGAGAATATTCCACAGATATTCCGGAATATTCCAGATTATTTCTAGAATATTCCAATATTCCAAAAGGAATATGATAGGGAGATTCATGGAATATCTGGTGCTGTCTGGGTATGTTCCATATAGGCTGCATTTGTCACTTTTTATAGAAAAACTCGAATAACTCTAGGTATAGAGTATGCTATATGAATGTGAACAGAATCATGAGAGGAATTAACAAAGATTAAGTCACTTTCGGAAAAACCGGAAGCTCCAAAAAAACGAAAATATTTTAGGACAGATAATGAATTATTGGCATTCAATTACTCCACTGTGTCGTTAGGAACCTAAATTAATTTTTGCAACCCTTCTCATGCTTGTGAATTGTTGAATTTCAGAGTTCATTTCAAACGAACCTTCATGGTCGCGCCATTTGGCTATGTCGAATAACTGGTGACGTCAGTTTTTATGCTGTTTCGTTATTGGTCACATAATCTTCCATTTCCACTCATGAAGCAAGGTTGTCAAGTCACCAATTATAATCAAGCTATCAAAAAGATAATTGAGTTCTGTCGTTGAATAAATCATATAATAGGAGGAACCCATGATGTTATAGTTTATGCTCGACTTTTTCGAGCAACCAGCATGTTCAAATATTTCTTATTCTCCATAACAACGTATCATGTGAATGTTGGAGACTTGACAACATTGTGCTGAATGCTGAGAACTGACAAGACCACGCCCACAAGTCGTGCGCTTTGGTTGTCACGTTCACCGATTCAAATGTCTTCTAGTGTGAATTAATATAATTATTATTATTTACACAAATTTATTTCAAGGAATAAGCCACAAATCGTGAGGGAACATTTTGAGAAAATTGAATTTTTACGAAATCGTGGCGTCAGTTTTTACTGGCGGTAAATTTCTAGCCGTTTTAAAATTACCGTGGCATTATTGATGATTTTAGCACCTAAAAATCGACCAAAAAATTCTTAAAAAATATTAAATTGAAAGGTATTTGAGTGATGATTCTATTTGAGAAATAAAAAAAGTTGTCCACTGGTCTGTGCTATTTTTATTTCTCCATAAACAGATTGCACTGACTCATGAAGATATTATGCAAGTTCTACCATGGTCATTGTTGATCCTTCAGAAGCGCTGATTATAGTTTGAATTCGCTTACGACTTACATTTTGAGATAATTTTCCCTACACCAATTTTTACTCGGACAAGACAACAATAAGATCAAAGCAGCGATTGATCAAGTTGAATGTAATATACCTACTTACTCTAGAATTGTCCTTCTGTGTGGAAATGAGCCACAAACATCATTCGTGGGTGGCCCAACTCATGGATTCATGAATTTTAAAAAGTTGCATGATTCAAGTTGTTCCAAGAAGGGTTTCCATGCAATATTTTTTATCGTTCGCAGAAATCTTTCGGAACTACTTTTATAGTCGTGAACATCTTGTCTTGTCTTACGACAGAAAAAAAAAAGGTTAACCTAAGAAAATTTATTAATTATAAAAATAACATAATAACTCATACATTTCACTTCACAGGAACAAACTGCACAAGTCTTTTAATCTTCCTTAGTAGAGCTTCTACAAAGCCTCTGTCTGAATCATTTCGATCCTGTAAATACAAAATTATTTATTTCATGATCAAAGAACATAAAAAGATCAATTATTTTTGAAATTATAAAATATCCTTGATAATAGTCATTTAAATCGAGTGAGTTTTAAAATCAGAAATGGAATTTTTCATAGCTGAATTTATAAGACTATCATAAAGATTCCAAAAACTTTATACTATCTATCTCATCATTTTATTGAAATCTTTTCTTGACTGATCCATAAGGAATGATAAAAATGGTAATCTAAATTAATTATATAACTGGTGTATGTTTCTCACCTGCGAAGTTTCTAAAAGTTGTTTCGTGAAACTATCATTGAACAGCGAAACCAATCCTTGCTTCAAGTTACTAATAACGTCGGTAGAAACCTTCCATGTGGCTTCAGAAGAAGATGCAAGGGTTGCTGAAATTATAAAATCATTATCGTTATTAATTATAGAATTTATCATTCATATAAGGAAATAGTACATTATACATCAAGGGACAGAAATGCAAGATTTTTTTCAAGGTTGCGATTTGTAGCTCAAGGGCGAAGCCAGAGAGATACAAAGCACCGAGGGAAAAATAGCATTCTGTCTTGAGGTGTATATACTATTTTTTACGCTGGCGAACACACAAAAATTGAAAAAGAATAAAAATTTAGTCGAAGTGTTTTGTCATAATTAGTAGTAGTATAGTTTGTGGAATTCGTATCTTGACAACATGCATCTTGCATGGTGACAGCAAATATCATACTGCAATTTACGAAAACAGCATTGAAAATGGTTAACGGTTATGGAACGAGAAATCGAGGGAAAACCCCAAGAAACTATTGATACTGCTTCTGCAGTGATTCTCAACTTGCTACCAGTGAGATATAGAAATCTGTATGATGCAGCTTATACTCGCTTCAGAGAAGGGTGTTCCGAAAAGAAAGCGTAGAGCTATGCGGAAAATGTAAAGTTGGTATAAACTCCCTAGGGAGAAAATATGTCACATTATCTCCCTAGGGAATAATACGAGACTTCTGCCCCTCTTTTGTTACCAGAGAAACCAACTTCTACTCCCACCGGCGTCAAAATGTATTTACACAGGGCAAATGCCATACATAGAGGGAGAATGACTTCTCCATCTAAAAATAATTTCATCTAAAATGTTTCAAAAATGCCTACACATTTAACAGTTACACTAGTTACAGTGCAAAGTGAATTATAATGATGCAAAATGCTTTCTTCAGTTTTTTTTTTGTTCTTGTATCATGGTCATCATTATCATGGTGAGTCTCATGTAGATGAAGGTTTTTTTTGACATAGCTTAGACATTCAAGAATGAAAACACATGGGAATGTCAAAATTTCTAGATAGGGTAAACCTGCAACAACTCCAACTGCCCGTCGTTGAATTTTGAAAACCTCAACAGCACTCGCAGCATGAGAGAAAATTAGCACAGTCTGACAACCATTTTTTACACACTGATAACAGAGAAAGATTTCTTAGAACAAAAATGTTTGTGTTTAGTTTATTGCATACTTTTTCTCCATGTGGCCTTCAGTTTAATTGGAAATCTAAGAGAACTCCCAGAAACCCTAAAGTAGGTGGATTCTCACGGTAGTGAATAAAGTATCAAGTGTTTTAATCTCGTTTAAGAACAAGAGGTTTGCCGAGAACCAATTTTCGGCATTCGTCGGATACTCGGGAAACCTCGATCTAATACATAATCGTAGGATTTTGAAGTATAACTGATAGTGGTGTCATCTGCAAAGAGGATGAATCTTGCAGGTGAATCTATACAGGGAAAGTTAGAACTGGCCCTTGGGGGACACCGAAAGTTAAATTGCTTCTGTTTGATTCCACTCCTTCATTTTTTACTGCCTGAGACCTATTGTTCTAAAAAAAATTGTTCTGAGCAATTTGTTTTATATTGGTCAATATGGATTTAGTAGGTCAGAACATAGTGAGGTAGCTGTGATGAATGTGATTTCAGATTTCCAATTACGAATTGATGAACTTGAAAACATTATTTTTTATAGATACCTATTCGTATTGATGAAAGATTATCATCGATTAAACATATATATATTTTAATTAAAATTTGAAATTTTATACCTCTAAGATACTTGAAGAACATTCATATTTGTCTTATTTACTCAAATTATTATAACTGAATATTAGATTCACATCACTAATAAAATTACCAAATGAAACAAAAAATGCAATTTTGATAGAATTTTTCTAGAACCAACTAGGAATTTATACAAACCTGAATATTTGTTGAATCTTATTTCATTATATGAACCAAGGCACACTCAAGATATGTTTTCATTATTTGTCAAGAAGGAATTTTAAATATCAACATTGATCATCTTCACTTCGAAAGTTGACGTAGATTTCACATTATTTCAGCGCCATCTAGCGGTTCGTGCGAATATTATTACCCTACTTCACTTTAATATTACTAAACTATATAGAGTGTGATTACTAACCTTCATGACTGAATGCTGCATTTGTAGACAATCCACCATACACCCTAGGTTTAGGAATAGCCCTCAACATATAGAAATCCAAATGTGACCAAATCAGATACAAAGAATTTTCAATAATAAAGGCACAGTAATTGATCTCTTTCTTTTTTCTTTCCAGCCTATCTGTAACCATCTCATGAGCTTTCTCCCTTTTAACGGAAATATCACTCATCTCCATCGACGAATCTAAGTAGGGTCTCAAGTCCACGGAATTCATTTCAGGTATCTCATCTAGTTTTCTCACTAAAAGATCGTGGGTGACCTTTTCTTGATGATGATAGTTAACAGCACTTATCAACTGTTGCACTATGATGCCTAGTGAGGGCTCCTGTTCATTGACACTGGACATACTTCTTGAACCGAAATTGCTTAGCAATGGGTCACTGAGAGTTGGATAGAAAATGACCCCCACTCCTTCGTGTTCTATTCCTTGGTTTGCCACAGTGTTTCTCGAATAACACAACAGGTTCGAAATGATCTGCATGGCATAGAGCAACCTATCAGAAGTCTGGAAAGTGAGAGTTCCTGCAGGACCCTGGCTAACTAATCGTTTCACCGTGTCATCACTGAGGATAAACTTAGGCAGAACCGATAGCATCAGTTTTTGAATTCTGTAGAGTTGGGCTCTGTTATTTTGAACGATATTTGGGTTCTCGAGTATATTCACCAAGTTATTATTGGCAGTTCTGGAAAGGACAGATGTTAGCAATGCGAGTTCTTTCAAAGATGTAGGTGATAAGTCAGGACTTCCAGAACGCAGTATGAGCTCAACTACATCGAGATGGCTTAGCAAGAAATACATTATTTGTGCCACAGCCGATTGGTTTTCTGTACCCAGAGTAGTGAGTATGGCATTGCAAATATGCAATGTTGGTAGCCAGATTTGCAAATACTGTTGCTCCACTGGTGGAAGGAAATCTTCTAAGATAGTATCTCTTTGCCAAGTTTTAGAAATATCTGGATGTGACATGAATACAGTCATATTACTGAACACTGTAAGCAGTTTTTGTTCTAATAGTAGTTCGCTTCCCAATCTAGTTCCAGCTAGTCTCGCCAGTACCAACATTTTTGCAATATAAAGATAAAGTGGTTTTATGGATTCTGCTGTTGGTTCCAACATATTTCTCAACTCTGTATCACTGTCAGCTATGCTTTGGATTATGTGTTTCAGGTATCCTCGTCCTGACATATGCAAGATCCAGTTCACATTTCCGGATATGGTCATGAGGTGACTGAAGCTTGACAGTGCCATTATTTTACAGATTTCTTGACCTCCTATGCAATCTTGGCAAAGTACTTCGATCAATTTATCACCAAAGGTGGACAGAACGTCAGAAGAAAATTCAAATTGTACATCAATTTCAGAGACATTCAATTTAGAGCTATCCAATCGGCTAATGAAGAAACTGTTGTTTGAAATAATGTCATCATGAGGTGTCTCAATATTAGTCAGTTGCAAAAACGTAACTAGTGCAGCATACAAGTTGATTCTCAATTCACCATCTGTCACATTAGAGATCATAATCCACTGAACTAGATTTTCCAATATTTCTTTCAACGAAGAATAGTACAACTTAAGCACGTTCAAAGTACTCTTATCGGTTTTCGAAAGTTTCTGCAACCTTTTTTCTCTAATATAACATTTCTTTAGATTGTCCATGAACAATAATACGGCTCCAGATAACAGTCTTGAAACTTCGGGTAAAAGTTGCGCTCTGACAACTTTTTTCAGAATTTGTTTGAGCAATGATATACTGATAATTTGTTGCTCAGTAGTCGATAAGATTTCCGTCGGCGTGAAAATTACTAAGACTTCTGCAACTTGCCTCCAAGCATCTGTGAATTGAATAACAGAAGAACATGTCTCCCTTTGTTTATTTATTTCCAGTGCATGTCTCAACACTTTTTGGATTTCTTGTGTTATTGCTTGTATTTGCCCTAAGACTGCAGTACCCTGAAGTGCCTTTAATTCGTCATACAAAATTTGATGCAGTTTCTTCAAATCAATCAGTTTTGGCGCCGATTTGTTCTGGCAGCTTTTCAAGATTTGATTCAACACATTGTTGTCGAAATACTCCCAACTTGGCGTCTCCAGAGATGGCCTAGTTACTTCGAAGAACGGTATCAAGTTCGTCATGAAATTCTCCATTTTCAAATCCTCCGGCACCAAAAGTTTGATATCAAGAGTGCTCTTCTGTATCAACGAAAACATGTCTCCATTTTTCATATCACCTGCAGGTATATTTACCAAAAAATTTGCAAGCTGTTTGAGGTACGTCACTTGCTTGAGTTGACTCAACACTTTCAACTCAATGGCGAGTATTTTCATAATCCAAGAGACTTGCCCAAACTCACAAAAGCCTGGGTTCATGTTCTTGCATGACTTACTCAAATGTTCTATGTAAAAGTTCTTGTTCAATCTGATGAACCTCAATACAGGTCCAGAGGATTTGACATTCGATGCCAAAAGGTATAGCAGATGGAAAGTGGATTCTAATAAAGATGGTGATGGTTCATCAGACAGTGGGTTGATGGCACAGTCCATTATAGATATTATAGAATGCAAGCAAGATCTTGCAAAGCCGAGCACACCAGGGTATTGAAACTCGGTTTTAGACACGTCTCTCTTGATATCAAAACCAAAGAGTAGGTGTGTCAAGTTGGGTGAATTGTAAGACAAGCATTGCCTGGACAAACTGAGTATCTCTTTCTTGGTGTTTTCTATGACATCATCTCCATCTTCAGGTGAAGCATCCAAACATTCAACAAAACCACTCCGAATCAGCTCTTTTGATTCGTCCAGGGACAATAAAATGTTCATGAAATGGCAGTGGGCAACAGAAGAACTGGTGATGTTTGTCAGTATTTTCACAGCCAAATATGAATGATGTGGCAAATGGAGTTGATAAGTGACATATTTTGCTATGTTTATGCAGTAGTCAGGTTTGCCAGATCTTCGATTAATAGATAGCAGTAGCTTGTTCATACTGGTGAGCATAAGAGGTGTGGAAGTTGATGCTAAAATTTGGAAAAATCTGGACTGAAGACTGAGTACTCTGTGGATGATTCTCAAGGAAGTTAGAACACACTCCTTGACCTTCTCTTGGCCTTGGAAAGGAACATAAGCATCGAAAAACCGATTCCCGTCATCAATAATGTTCATCAGGATGTAGAACATCTCAGATTTGCTGTTAAGCTGTAGCATCATGTGGTATCCAGGCGGCGAGCTGAATTCATTTTGCAAATTGGCAGAAAAATCTGATTGTTTGGGATCATACCTAGTTATGAATTTCTCAAATAACTTCAAACAAGCTAGGGCTACTTCCCATTTTTCAGTGCCATTACGGTAAGATCTAGTGTGGTATTTCAGGAAAACTGAATTTATGATGAAATTAAGGTATGGATCAAATCCTGGTTTCCTAGGTCCAGCTCCTAGAGTCCTTGGTATCCCAAAATCCGTTAACACATCTAGCAGCTTCAATACACCACGGGTTAGTGGATATTCTTCCAGTCTAGATTCAATCTCTTCCAATTCCGTTTCAATGCCCCTGGGCGCATAACTGGAAGTTGTCGGTATTGTTATCAAGATTTGTGATGCTTCTAAATTTTCCCACATTTGACTTGCATTCTCAGACGATTTTGATAAAGCAGCTAGTGTAAGAAGAAGGTCTGCTTTGAGTGGTATAGGCACTGAACAACTAACTAAACCCAAAAGGACTGTTAGAGGGGACCAACCAGGATGTTCACAAAGTGCTAGCCTTGAAAACTCGTCATGTTCAGCCACTGTCCTCATGAGTAAAAGAACAGCATGCAGGCCGTCCAATTCTTGTGGAGATACCCCTTTATTATAGGAAGCACGGCTTCTATATACTGTATCAGTTTGGGGCGGAGCTTCTTGTCTTAGATTGTTGTAATATTGGGAAAACGACATAAAGAAATGATCCCAGGATAAATTAGCTGATATGTGCGATCCCACTTGTTTCAACATGTTGAAGCAGTGTCGTGCAGTTTGTTGGGATGACGACAAACCGCTCAACATTGTGATGTACGGAACAAATAGTGTTGTTGGAAGTACATCACCAGCAAGTCTGATGAATTTAAAGAGTGAAACTGATCGAGGTGCAGCTCTGTAGGAATAGTTTTGGTTGGGGTTGATTTCAGTGAGACTCCAGTAATTCGAGACATAATCAGTGTTCAGTACATCATTTGAGTAGAACTTGCCTACAGTTAGTAATAAGTATTCAAAAAATCTAGGCAAGTTTGCTGGGGCATCCAATTCTTCTCTGATGTAGACTTGCATTGTCCTAGCAATTTCGTCAGCTTTCATTCTGAGGTCCTTCACTTTGGGGTACATGAAAAATATGAAATCTGTAATCAAATTGTGAATCCTCTTGTACAAGAATGGTTCTTTGTATAAGGTTTTATTTTCTAGGAGTACATTATGCATGAAGGTAAACACATTCATTTCAATGGCTGCATCTACGAAACCTTCTTCCTTATTTATAGCATCTTGGAATTTTAAACTTTGTGGGACATCTCTTAATGAACTTATACAGACGGCAAGACCAAATATTGATAGAGCTTGCAATCCTTCACAAACCCATTTCGGTTTAGCCAAAGACAACTCATTAATTACTATTGGTATATATGATGGATCAGAAAAAATTGGTAACAACTGTATAGCTTCTTCACCATCCTCTCTTGTGTGCAGAATACTAATATCCAATGCTGATAAAAGGGCCAACTCAAGATATAAATTCACGTTGTCAATTTGGCCAGAAGCTTCTTCTTCTATCTTAGCTTCTCTCAAATAGTTTATAAGTCCTATTGTAGGGTCTTTTGGCAATCCGCTCTGTGAAGACCAAGAAAAAACTATTTCAGCTAAGAGGTATCGTATTTCATTGAACAGATCAATAACTTGTCTTCTGTGCTTTGGTCCTCCTAGAGCCAGGTTCTGCTGAAGCTTATCGAGTTCTTTAGTAAGGTCGAGTGATCTCAAAAGCTCAAATATTCTAGTAAAGAGGCCCCCTTCCATTAGCTGATTGGTGTAATCTGTAATGAATTTTGAAACGTCTTGTTTGAGTGTTACACTCCATTGTACCCCATTTCTAGCTTGCACTAAGTAAAGTAGAGTTTGGACGAGAGCTTTTCGACCATCATAATATAAAAGCACAGCTACTAATCCTCTGGGTAAAGACGGATAATATGACATTTGCATTTGTGCAGTGCATAATAGGTCTAGAGCAACGAATTCGTTGATTTCGAAAAGGTCTGACAAAATGACGGCTTCTTGATAAAGTTCTTTCGAAAGAATTTGGTGACCGATTCCCCTAACGTTTATGCCATCGACCATTCCCTTTTTGAGCTCATCTCGGGCTTTGGGATTTCTTGGCTGTAAAACAATGTGAAATTGAAGGATTATCTGTTAACAAAGGATTCTGAAATTCGAAAAACATAATCCTTGTGTCATAACAAAATACACTTCCCCAAGAAATTAACGCACCATCAAAAAGTAGTCAGAAGTTTAAGATACATCTTTGTCAATACTACTTCTCCGATTTGAACGTTATTTGTTTTGAATGACAAATTATTTCGTTCTGAACATTGGTGTGTAAACTGTTGTCGCAAAAAATAGTTATTTATTATACAAGGGAAAAAAGTAGTAGATTTTAGCACCGTGAGCTAAAATCTAATATTTCTCCCGTGTATAACACAGTATTTTTTTGAGAATATTGAGAAGATATTACATTATTTTGAAATCTGAAAATTATCGACGTGAAATTTTAAGTATTTAACAGTAGAGACACCTGCGTTGTAGGCATCTTCATCATTCTTTTGAAGTAATCAAATATCTGATGTCACTTCTGTCAGTCTAATTCTGTGATTTGATTTCAAAAAATTGCGAATTTGGTGGTTGTTTAGTAATATACGTAACGGCGAAGTCGAATGGAAGATAAAAGGACTTGCAGTTCATTCTGGGAGACGGTATTATTGACTCATTTTTCGGAACTATAGCACAACAAAAGCCATCAACAGTGTATATATATGTGATATATTATCCGGGAAAAAAGTAATCACTTCCTCAACTCGCCAATTTAGCGTGTTTTTTATGTGTAATACCCTGCAGAGTGTGATAGGTACACTATCAAGTTACACTTACAAATTACACTTTAACCTTATGTTTCTTCATCTCTTTTTTAAAATTCAGTACATTATCTCTCCTATTAATCGAGAAACACCATTTTATAGCATAACATGATTTTATGGAAAATTATAACATCCAAATTTAACAACAAAAAACAGAATGCGAAGTCACACAAGTTGAAAAAAAGAATCAGTAGCGAGTATTTCCGCTTCGGGCAAGAATAAATTCTTGGCAAAGACGGCCTATACTTAAAATAAGAGACCATATGTCATTTTGGTCCAGGTCTTCCAAAATTTGAGCCAGTCTCTGCCGTGCGTCCTCCAAAGTATTCGAGTAACGTTCCTGTTGTCATCTCGGCCCAAGAATATCCCAGAGATTCTCAATGGGATTTAAATCCGGGCTCCGAGCTGGCCATGCCATGGTAGCGATACCGACTTCCTCTAGATAACTTCTCACAACTCGCACGACGTGAGGCCTGCCATATCTTGCATCAACAAAAATCCTTACACTATAATATCATGTAATCTTTGGTAGAAGTCCATAGTTTCTCAAAGTGGAGTGAAGTAGTAACTACTAAATACTACGCGAAGTCATGGAGACGACATGGAGATGACTTCGAGCATTACTTAGTAGACAATATTATGTGTTTTAAGAATCTCCAATATGTATACCTTTCAACTGTAGGGCTTCCATTTGAATCGTGATTGTTAGATGGGCATCAGTCCAGAAGACTTAGTTTTGAGATAATTGAAAAAAAAGCATAAATTATCAAGGGAAAACAAAATAAAAACTTTAATAATTTCAAGATGTTGTATATCATCAACTGAATATTATTTGAGGCAAATGTTCTTTTAAATTCATAAACTATATTTTTTGCAATATTTCGAAAGTTAATGACTGATGCCCTTTTAACAAATTGAAAATAGTCCTTCTATAGTTCATTTTTTTCTGTTTAATGTACTAATATCAAAATATAATATGTTTTCCAAACAATCTTGAGTCATAATATTTAAAAATTATCATTGAAACTAAATAAAACACTAGTGAGTTAATAGGCATTCATCTTCTGGAATGTTATTGTTCACTGGCCAGTTTGAAATGTCTTCATAAAATGGATGGTGTAGAAACTCCTACCAAATCCCATCTTCTGTTTTTCGGGCAAAGGACCCCGCACTTTTAGTACGTAAAATGGTTCTCGGTGAATTTTTCTGAATTTTCAGTATGTTCTAGAATTCGATGAACTGATTGAACCTGCAGAATCGTAAAGTTCTTTGATGAACAGATTCTGAGATACAGGGCGTGGAAGTTACAAATCGGTATTTTTCATTTAATTATTTTCTCGAAATTCAAAGATGCCAAGTACAATTTTCTTCGCTCATATCATTAACGAACCTCCATATTACTCAACATATTCAGATGGTTCAAATGATGTAATTGTTTACAGAGTGAAACATATATACATTTCAGTGATGTCTGAAATTCCGATGTAATAATGAAATATCGAAAAAATAATTTAGGCATGCAATATACTATCCTCATTCCATCATGAATCACAATTCATACATTTTATACAGGGTGATTTGCAAAATTGGTGACACCTAAGACCGATTTATCCATACACATCCTGTATATTCGAGTGAATTGTTAACCTCCCAAGATAGCTGATACCGTATGAACATGATTTCGTTGAGATATATAGGGTGATCATGAAGATTTTCGATGATGAAAATGACAAAAAATCGTGTTTTTTGTAATCACCCTGTTATTCATGATTAACTCGGTGAAATTCTCTAATTATTTTTTAATATACTCATCATTCGCTCCTCAACGCTGTATTGAAAATTCAGTTTCCTATCATGACGGGTGTCATAGTTATTAATTCAGGAACTTTGCATGAAGAGTTGAAGAGACTTGTTCACTTACAGTTCCTGAATTAATAACTATGACACCCGTCATGATAGGAAACTGAATTTTCAATACAGCGTTGAGGAGCGAATGATGAATGTATTAAAAAATAATTAGAGAATTTCACCGAGTTAATCATGAATAACAGGGTGATTACAAAAAACACGATTTTTTGTCATTTTCATCATCGAAAATCTTCATGATTACCCTATATATCTCAACCAAATCATGTTCATACGGTATCAGCTATCTTGGGAGGTTAACAATTCACTCAAATATACAGGATGTGTATGAATAAATCGGTCTTAGAGGTCACCAATTTTTCAAATCACCCTGTATGAAATGTATGAATTGTGATTCATGATGGAATGAGAATAGTATATTGCATGCCTAAATTATTTTGTCGATATTTCATTATTACATCGAATTTTCAGACATCACTGAAATGTTTATATGTTTCACTCTGTAAACAATTACATTATCTGAACCATCTGAATCATGTTGAGTAATATGGAGGTTCGTTAATGATATGAGCGAAAAAAATTTTACTTGGAATCTTTGAATTTCGAGAAAATAATTAAATGAAAAATACCGATTTGTAACTTCAACGCCCTGTATCTCAGAATCTGTTCATCAGAGAACTTTACGATTCGTCAGGTTCAATCAGTTCATCGAATTTCACAACATACTGAAAATTCAGAAAATTTCACCGAGAACCATTTTACGTACTAAAAGTGCGGGGTCCTTTCTTGACCTACGGCCTACTTGACAGAAGGATTCTTTGCAAAATCGCGGAATATAGGTCGCATTTTACCCGTTAGATGGCGAAATCTCAACCAAACCTCAAGGTTGGTAGAACTGATGATAATAAAATTCCCCAAAATTACAGTTTCGTCCTTTCAAATTTAATCTCATTTGATTTGAGGTTATGTTATGAATGTTATGATATTATTATTTCTGGTGCAAACTATGTATAGGGCCGTTTTCTGTCATGGAATAATCTGTAAAAAGTGTCGCCATCTTGTGGACAACTGAGAACTAATAAGCCATTATTGCGGAATCTGCGGTCAAGCGTTTTGGGAGAAACAAAACACTGTCTGTGATTACACCACATTCTATCCACCTTGATCTTAAGATTGACGAAATCTTTTATTTTTGGTGTATTTGCTTGGATATTAACACTGTCTACATAACTCTCACCAGAGATTAGTGGGTGACTAATCTCTGCTCTCACTTCCGCTCTTTTTTTATATATTTCTTGCAGTCAATTATAACAAAATGCAATTATAGTTATCACAATATCAACAACAATTTTAAATCCAACAGATTCGATTCAATCCGAACCTGAAAATCACAAGGAGTTTAGGGCCACTGAACTGATGCCTTAGTCTTTATAACAAACTCCGGATTTTTTGCGTGCCCATAACAACCTCATCAATGCAAAGACAGAGGCCGCTAGTTTAATTAATTTAGACTTCAACGAAAATAAAAGCTCAAAATTGCTGGATGGGTGACTGATGCCCATTTAACAAAAAATCATGATTCATTTATGATCACAAGTTCCATGCGACCAGTCAGAAAAAATGCCTCCCCAGACCATAGCCTACTACTACTACATAGAAGCTCAATAAAATCATGTTATGCTATAAAATTCTGTTTCTGGAGAAATAGGAAAGATAATGGAGTAAATCCAAAAAATGACTGTTCAGCCTCCACAGGGTATTACAAATTTCATGAAACACACTATAATTGATTGATTGATCAATGAAAAAGAGGTATTATGTGAATACAGTTTGCACGCCAATACTCAGAAGGAGATAACCTGTCATTAAAAACAAGAAACATCCAAATCAGACAAGTAGTTTTGACAAAAATGTATCTCAAACTTTTGGATAGTTTTTGGTGGTGTGTTAATTTATTGGGGAAGTGTATATAAAACCTGTGAATTTTGAAACTTCTGTCATTCCTTTGATAAAGGTTCTACAAGTTTTTACATTAATTATTTCTTAACAAATAATTCTGGTTGAAATAAGTCATGACTAGTATGAAAAAGTAAAAAAAAAGGTTCCTACTTTTTTTAAAACATTATTTTGAAAAAAAAAATCATTCTATTCACCCACTGATATCAATTACATCTGAAAAATTCAAAATCTATTTATTCAGTGATACTAATAATTATAATTGCTAAAAAATAGTTTTTCTTGAGGTTTTTCTCAAATAAATCTTAGGGCATAAATGAAAAAAAAAACATGCAATTTTTGCAAAACTAAAACTATTGATTGTATAAATGCATAGGCAACCAATCATTTATTAAAAAACTCAATTAGAAAATACAGTTTTTTTTACTACTGGTCAGCTGTCAGATACTACTCCAATATCCACACATCAAACCCATTATTCCTAACTTTTCAAGTCTTTGAATTAATTTACGAATTTTCATTCTGAATTTGGATTATTTGAGGGGTATTAATACAATTTTATTATCAAGATGTTTCACATATACAGGATAGCAAAAAAATGATAAATAAGCAACATTCCTAATTCTTGCAGGCAAATTCTAATAGGCCTTTTCCTTCAAATGTTAAATAAGTATTGTTGCTCACATGTAGAAACCACATTTGGCATGCCAAAATGCTATCCATTTTATAATAGTCCAATCAAGTTATGGCATTAAAAATGACTGTTCACCTTAGCAATATTCAATAAGAATTTTATTTTGAAAACAAGTGAACATGCAATCTACAAAATCATCTAGTTGAGAATACATTTTTTTAAAGATTGGTGCACACAAGGAAATCCTTATAATGTTCCAAGAACATCATGCTTACCTAGGGAGGATAGGGAGAGGATTATAAGTTCTAGGAAATATTTCCTCAGACAATGAATTTCAGAGCTTTCCTATTCCACCAGTTCTATAGAGAAAAGATTAAAGCATAGAGAATCCTCTAATCTGCCACAAGTTTTTCAAGATGCTTATTGTCTTGGACAAATTACTACAATTGGTTATATTTCACAAGTTCCTCATCAATTAAAAATGTCACATAGATGGTTCTGGATGTGAGGATTTTATTGCCTGCTACCTTTGCATCAAAATCTCTTGAAAAATGTCCCCTCATACTGTCATTATTTACTATCCACATACGTTTTAGAAGCAATATGAGGATGAACCTCTTTGGATTTTTCTGTATTTTGGTTCAATTAAATACCTGTACTCTGAAATATCATTCACCCATGAAAGCCTAAATTTATGTAGTTTGTGATTGTACCACAGATTGTACTTCCTAGTGAACCATCAGTGTTTTAGTGCTATTTTGCACTAAGCTACAATTATATATATTTCAAATAATGGAAGTACATGCAAAGCCTTCACATTTTTCAGGAATTACCACATGCAGTCATCTGATAATGGAATTTACACCATGCTACAAGCATATTCAAAAGAACTTACTGGACTCTGTAACAAGGAAAAAAAGTTTTGCTTGTGTTTCCTTAATGTATATTCCAATTCAGCTGTTGTTAAATCAGATTCAGATTGATTCAAGTGTTTCCAAACGATTCCTTTCAAGTCTTTATAGGGGTTCCACAAGTCCTCTGTTTTATTTACTGGAAAAAAGTTTTCATATAAGGAAACAGCATTGTTATTATTGTGATATAGCCTACCTTCGTTCATAATGGGGCTTTCAATTCTACACAATGGCTTTTTCTGTGTCTAATTGAAAATTTGATATTCAAAAAACGGTTGATTGAAATGTTTATATTTATATTCATCCATTTACATTTACCATCACCATTCAGTTTTTTTAGGTTAGGTTAAGAATGTCATTTTGCATATGTCAAAAGTTAGGGTCCCTTGATGGAAATTGACGTTAAAGTCATATAACAGGGTACGGACAGATCATAGCTGCATTCTTTTTTAATGATCTAGAGACTTCAGTTTTGTCTACTGGCATCCCTGACATTGCTGACACGTCACATCCATGAGCGCCACAGAAAATCATGCAAAATTTTAATAAGAGGTATGTACAGGGTATTTACTTGTTGAGGAAGATCATATGACGAACGAGTTTTGTAATTATGATCCGATTCTATTCAAAATTGGACGGTATCTGGGATTTTCCGGGGTTCGAGATAATGATTCATAGACTTATTATCCATGCAATGATTGTTTCGTCAAAATTGGACAATTCAAGATGACGTAACCAATATATATCGAAAGAAATTTCTAATTATGATCTGATTCTATGTGAGTTCGAAATCTGAGGGTTTTCGGGGTCGAACTTTATGATTTTTTGTCAAAATTGGAAAATGGAAGATAGCGGATCGAATATGGCGAACGAATTTTGTAATTATGATCCGATTCTATTCAAAAATCAAAATTGGTATCTGAGGATTTCGAGGGTCGGAAATTATAATTATTTCGTCAAAATTGGGATATTCAACAAGATGGCGGATTCAATATGGTGGACGAGTTTTGTAATTAAGATGCGATTCTATTCAAAATTGGTATCTGGGGTTTTTCGGGGTAGGAGATAATGATTATTTCGTCAAAATTGGAGAATTCAAGATGACGGATCCAATATGGCGAAAGACATTTCTTATTATGATCTGATCATATTAAAGATTATTGTTATCTTGGGGTTTACGGGAACGAACTTTATGATTTTTTGTCAAAATTGGGATATTCAACATGGCGGATCCAATATAGCGAGCAAGGTTTGTTATAAATAGTTCTTTAAAAAATCAATTAGACACGCGTTCGTAGATACTCAGTCGAATTAAGAAGGAGTAGAACATATATAACAGTTTAAAAAACTGAAGAGATAGATTGCCCAGCTGAAAAGGAGTGTAAAATGAATAGTATTTTGAAAAACTAAAGGAACACTCTTTCATGAATAGCCGAGCTAAAAAGAAGTAGAAAATGAAATAAATACAGTGTGCGGGTAAATATTTAACTAAAATAATAGATTCTAGAAATATTGTGCATAGCAAAACAACGTTTGGCAAGTCATCTAGTAATGATATTTATTATTCGTTCCAAAAACTCTTTGTATATTATTGAAAAAAAAAAATTGACAGTGTCAAATGATTTCTGAATGTCAATGATTATAAAATTCAAGAAAATGAAAAAATTTTACGAATAAGTAAGGATATATTATCTACTGAATACAATATTTTCCTATTCTCTTCTGAAAAAATGGCGTAATGTGCTGTGTTAGGCTTGGCCAATCATTAGATGGCAAATTCAAATTTGTAAGCTTTCCAACAGATGAAGATGAACTCAAAGCATGGAAAGTAAACATGAAGAGACCGAACTAGAAAATCGGTAAATTGAGCAAAATATGCGAGATCATCTATATTTTGGTATAGATGAATCAGGAATTCCATATGGAAAAAACGTATGATACGCCAATGACCTAAAATACAACAAATGTCAAAAATCTAGTGTTTATCCCCAGAATTGAATAAGGATGGAACTATATAACTGTTTCACAAACACTTTAGAGTGAGAGGAGTCGAGGATCTGTCCGTACCCTGTTAGATGACAAATACGTCAGTTTGCACATGTTTGCATCAAGGGACCCTATCAAAAGTAGCTGTGCAAAGCGTGAATTCATATTTACCGTAGACACGAATACCCACATCTTAATTCATCACTCCCACTATATAGGCCAATCAGATCATTTCTGGCAATGACAGTAAATTTAAGACGAAGAAGAGCTTGGGAAAACTAAGCCACTAAGGTATATACAGGGACTCTAGGGAAAAGGAGGGGTTCTTGTTGGTTCTTGATTGCAAACGACTTTTCTCAATGATTTTCCAATTGATTTTCCTTTATATTCGCTACATATTTTGCCAGTAGGCCAGGAAATATAAAAATTTCAAAATTAATTTTTGAAATCGATTTATTTACAAAATGGGTAGTGATGTCAGCGAAACTTACACGAGTACAATTTATAAATAAAGATGGTATCAAACTGTCGAAAATTGCATAAAGAAAGAAGTTAGGGGGAAAAGTTTCCCTAATAACTACTTCCATCATTCTAATAACCCTTCCATTTCCCATGCCCCACGCTCCTCTTCAAAATTATGAATCGTGATTTTCAAATATCAATTCATTTTCAAATTAATAATGCATGATAGAAGGAGAGCCGGTATATTTCGACCGCCTTCTCTGATAACGAAATAATAATAAATTGTAATACAGACAAACGCGGTAGTTTTACGATGCAAAATCGTCGATAGCTTTATAGTCATTTTTGAATTTACGATGAAATATATGGGACTTTTTTTTTCAGAATCGAATTTCCTATATCGATCAAGAATATTATTATATACTGGGTGTCCCATAAGAAATAACGAAAACTCTACCTCTGGACATAACTTGGAACGCGATGTTCAATTTTTTTTTCGATTTCATCATCGTATTAGGCAATCCAAACCACGTGACATTTTAGCTGACAAGATGGCGTCTGGTTGGCAAACAAAGATTATACATCTCTTGTAATTAAATTGTATTTTGTCCGAATCACCCTATTATTCTGGTAGTTTTATGTGTCAGGTGTTTGAGGGAGTCTCGGAGCTGAATTGAACAGTGCTTCAATATGCTTAGTTCATATTTCAGCAGGAAAACCCAGAGGTTGCTCAGAGGTAAACATGAATATTTATTGTTTTTTCGGCTATTTTTCTCAACTAACCAGTAAATTTTCATTCCTGAAACTATCATACAACCATAATTTGTTTGTAGATATCTGACGAAGCTGATGTTGATCAAGGATTTGAAGCCCTCCACATCTGAAACTGCTGACTGATTAGACTACCTCATAATTATACTCTCCTACTATTTATAGTGACCCACAGTTTCTACCCTCATGAGCAAATGAAAGCATTCAAAACCCTTGTTGTTCACAAGTATTTTTCAGCAACTTTTGTCCAGGAAGTAGACAGGAAGATGAATGATTTTCATGTCATAGATGGAAAGGTAACTTTTTACTTTTATACCTAAATACCTTTCATGATAGGAACATTTTGAATGATGAAATTATGTTATTCATATATTTTTAAATATATTTCCTACCTCATATTCATGTATATCTTATGCAATTTTTTTTAGGTAAAATATTCACAATCAGATTCTGTGCTAATAAGTAACTTGAGGCTTGGGCAAGTAAATAAGGAACAGTTTCATGTACTGATGTATGTGCTTTGTGACCCATGCCACCACTCTCACCATGATTGTGCCCATCATACCAATAGCAGAAATGGACATAGGTACAGTTGCTCTGAATGGTTTAATACAAAATCTCTACTATATCTTCAATGTCCAGAGAAACGTGTTCTTTGGGAACAACATTCACAAATTGCTTTGAAGTTTCATGCCGAAGTTATAATACCTGGACTTTTGGGTGGATATTAATTTCACCAGAAGTGAACTATTGGTGTAAGTGTTCAAGTGCTGATGATGGAACCCCTATGACAGTGATAAAGGGAAATTGTATGGTTCTATTTTAAATGTGCAGATATTTTAGGTACACCAGAATCAGCATGGTTTTGTGAATTCTGATTCAACAAGTTCTATAAAAAAAATGTACCTATGCATAATAAATATATCATTCAATCATTGTTTATTGTTGTTTCAATCAGATCACTGAATAACTATAATGTTCTATGAAGATTTTTTCATGACTAATGTAGATCTTTTGTAATATAGTGGAATAATACAATGTATTTTTCATTTAATGAATATTACAATTATTTTGATATACTTACTTTATTTGTCTTACATTTATAATTGATAAAAATAAATCACAACAGACTGTAATTTGTAAAAGTACTCATATTCTTGTAGATTTTCACCTTGTTTTCACCAATTTTCTCTTCTATTTCTTTATCTCCCAGGACACTTTCTTCATTACACTAAAATAAATGAAAAATGATGTAGTAGTAGTATTAGGTAATCAGGTGTTTTCTTGAGAACATACCAGGTCTCTCGGTTCTGATGCTTGATTCCTTATTTGAACCTTTTTTCTGCTCTCAGTTTTTGATCCACATCAGTCTTGCATTTCGAATGGACAAGAGATTGATGACCCATATTATATTGCAATGGGACCCAAACTGGATATTCTCATCTTTCAGGCACTACGTTCTCCTACAATAAGGTAGATGATGAATTTATGTATTAGAAACATGATTTTTCCAAACTATGTAGGACCATCAAAAGTAATGAGTATTGGTTTATTTTATCAAAATGAAAAAAAGATAAGTTTTCCATAGAATGAAACACTAAACTCATCAGTTCTAGAGTAGGTAGGTACATATAAATAATATTAAAATCTTTTTTCTTAGGTACCTGTTATGAAAATAGTGTCTGCCACATATCCTCTGGTTTATTATGATTGATTCTGTTGCTGATTCTTTCTCTTGATGGCTGCAATCCACATTTCCCTAATTTTTCTTGATAGATTCTTCATCTGTGGGTAATGCCCAGAGTTTTTCACAGAATTACAGTAGGAATGTGACAAAACAGCAAATGGTCCCGATCTGCACTGCTTCCACAATCCACCACAATTCACGTTACTGGCAATTTTTTCTTTGAAATCACAGTGAGTTTTCATTATTCACAATAAATCTAGCCGAAACTCAATAAAATAATACTGTAAAAGGCTTCCAAAACCCACAAAGTTCTCAAGTAAACAAACTTGTCTTTGGTTTGTTTGCCAACCAGACGCCATTTTGAAATTATTTGACAGGTCGTTGGATTGCCTAATAGTCAGCAGAAAAAATACTACTATAGTTGATCCATTTGACCGATATTTGAT